AATAATAATAATAATAATAATAATAATAATAATAATATTATTATTATTATTATTAACTTATTTTTGGTATTTTTAAAATGCTTCATTTAATGTATTGACGCATTCGACAATAAATACTTGGGGATGACTAAGATAAGAGGCAGACATTTATAAAAATCGCGAATTTCGATTTATGTTATGGTATTTAAAAAATACTGCATGCAACAAATGCATCTAAGTGCTTTTGAGCGTGCTCAATATTTCAGGTTTTAGCCAACAGTGCTTTAGGACAAAACACACACACCAGCACACACACACACACACACACACACATAGATAGAAAGGGTGGGAACTGAGAGGTTGGCATCACCTGCTGCATTAGTGGCTCGTGGTTTAGCTAAGGTTGTTGTTGTAGCTGTTGCTGTTGCTGTTGTTGTTGGTGCGTGTGCTTTTTGATTTTTCCAGCGCAGGTGGCAACGGGACAACAACAATAACAACAACAGCAACAACAACAACACAGCAGCCTTTGAGTAAAATAAATGATAATGGCCTCAATGATTATGCATCGGCACGTTTCTCATCGCGACCAACACACACACACACACAAACAGAGAGAAAGAAAGAGATACGCACAGCTACATGCACACACATATACGCACACAGTGATACAGGTGTTGACTTCTATGTGTATTAGTATGAAAAAGGATTCAACTGGCGCGGCTGTTTTTAGCTTTGTGACGGCGTTTAGCTGTCGTTGTTGTTGCTGTTGCTGCGGTTGCTGTTGTTGTTGTTGTTGCTGCTGTTGTTGTTGTCTTTTATCGCCACTCGCGCGATTTGCCCAAACAAATTACAAATTGGGTTTAACTACTATTTTTTATGCTGCCACGGCGTTTTGCCAACGGCTGCCGCAGCTGCGTTCACAGCAACAGAGGGAGAGAACAGAGAGAGAGAGAGCGAGCGAGAGAGAGAGAGAGAGACCACCCACAGCTATCCCTCGGTTATGCTCTTTATTTTTTATTGTTGTTTGATTTTCGCGGTCGCGCGTTTGGCTTTTCATTTCATTTAACCGGGGCCCGCCAATGTTTTTGCGGCAACGCTGTGTCAACAAATCGGCCGGACTCGGACCCAGACCCAGTTACAGTTACGTACCCAAATTTGCGCCCAGGACCGGGCTCCATTTCATACTGGACGCACTTTTTGCCCTGCTAGAAATAAACTAGGCAGGCACTAGGGCCTGAAACGCTCAACGTATCCGCCTCTGTTTGCCTCCTGGCCAACAACACCGGCCAATAAACAAAAAACAAAAAAACAAAACAAAAACGCATCTAAATGTATTCCACAAACAAAACGGCAGAGGCTCGAATCATTTTCGTTTGTGTTTTGTTGGTTTTTGTATAAAGGGTTGCACATTCCATCAAATATTAGAGATATGATCTTTGAAAAAAATGTGCCTAAAATGGAAGTGAGAAAATGCTTAAGAATAATGTTAACTATTTTCATTATATTATCTTTGCATCGTTGCCTTTACCCCTCTACCTCGGCCTCTACCTCTAGCTATACTACTGCCCATACCTATCCTCGACTTCTACTTCTACTTCAACTTCTACTTCTACTTCTACTTCAACTTCTACTTCTACTTTTACTTCTTTTACGACTTTTACCGCTACCCCTACCTCTACCCTCTACTCTCTAGCACTCGGTTTTAAGTTGTTTTAAAACATGGTAGGCCAGCTAAGCTCTACTGCTTTGAACACTTAGATTTCCATTATTTTAAAACATAGTAGGCCAGTTGACGTTTTCGTCTACCTTAGTTCAATCTTTCAACAAAAATCATTATTATATTTTTATACGTCTAGTGAACAGTTCAACGAATTTACAAAAAGCAAAAATAAAAGTTAATTTTGCGAATTCCTGAAAAGTATATATATTTTTATAAAGATTTTATATTATATTTTTTATAACGGTGAGTACAAAAACTGCAAATGATAAAAAATTGTAAATCAAAGAATTTATAGAACGCACTGCTTAGAAAGCGCTTTCATCGTCACAAAGAAGATTTGTTTTTTCGATTTGATGAAGGCGAAAAGTAGAAGTTTCTAAACCTGAAATGGGTTCCTCTTTTTCTAAAAAGAGATAAAAAGCTTTTTGACATCATATAAGGATAGTTTGATAAAGACAGAGAGAAACAGAGATATTACTTGGAAGAAGAAGGTATACATAAATGGCTAGAGTATGGCATTCTGGTGATAGACGGATAAAAATAGGGAAGTTTAGAAAGGTAGAAATATGGAGGGAATTCGAGATGGGTAGACAGAAAAAGAGAGAAAGAAGGAGAGGGAGATGCTTGCATGGATTAATGAATAGATAAAGATAAGAAGACAGTAGCAAGAAAAAAGGAGAGGATACCAACAAAGGAGAGGAAGGTACGACTGGACAAAGAGATCTAAGTACCTATAGTGCTACATCTATCCCCACCTCTATTGCTATCTTTTCCTCTACTCGTACTTCCATTTGCGACGTATTGTAGCTTTCAATTATTCTCCTACTTAGTAGGCTTGTCAAATTCTTGCACTACAAAAATCTTCATAGTTTCAAGCACTTATTTTTGAAATATTTTCAAACATAGTAGGCCAGTTGACTTTTTCGTCCACCTTAGCTCAATCGCTCATCAAAAATCATCATTATATTTTTATACGTCTAGCAAACAGCTCAACAAATTCAAAAACAAAAAAATTTGTGATTTTGTGAATTCGTGAAAAGTTTATATATTTTTTATAAATCTTTTGTATTATATTTTATAACGGTGAGTACGAGAATTAGAACAAGAGTTTTTTTCATTTGACGATGGGGGGCAAAGTAAAGCGCGAAATAGCTGGAATTTTTTCTCCCTTTATATGTATATAGAGATGAATAGCTTATCGAATAAGAAGCACAGATCGATGGAAGCACAGAAGGATGGAGGGTAACATGAATAGCTAGAGTATCTAATTTGAATAGTAGATAGATGTAAGTAGAGAAATAGAATATAATAGAAAGATGGAAAGATTAAATGATGGATAGATAGAGATGTAAATATAAATAGAGAGTAAGAAGAAAGGCGAGAGTAATAAAACTGGTACGGTGGAACAGAGATAAAAGAAGTTTAGCTTTCCATACGTCTACATCTATCCTCTCCTCAATATCTACCTTCATCTCCATTTCTGCTTCCATTTGCCAACAAGTTTTGACGTTTTTTTAAACTTAGAAGGCCTGTGAGGATCTACAACAATTTCTAGATATCTGAACACTTATCTTTGAATTATTTTAAAACATAGCAGGCCTGTTGGCATTTTCGTCTACCTTAGTTCAATCTTTCAACAAAAATCATCATTATATTTTTATACGTCTAGCAAACAGTTCAACGAATTTCAAAATAGAAAAATAATTTGTGATTTTGTGAATTCTTAAAAAGTGTATATATTTTTATAAATCTTTTTTATTATATTTTATAACGGTGAGTACGAAAATTGTAACAAAAGAAGAGTTATTTTTCATTCGAAGATGGGGAAAAGTAAGGCGCGAGATGGAGATAAATAACTCATCGAATAAGACACATAGATTGATGAAAGCATAGAAATATGGAGGGAAACATAACTAGTAGCGAATTTTAATAGTGGATAGATTAAAATAGGGAAACAGGAAGATGGAGAGATACAGAGAGAAAGATAGAGAAAAAGATTGAAGATAGTATAGATAAATTAATAGATTAATAAATAAATAAAAAACAGATAGCAAAAAGATGAGTAGAAATTGAGAGGAAGGTACGGCTGAACATAGAAATAAAAGAACCTCTAGCTCTTCCCCTCTATACCTCTACATCCATCCCCTCTACAATAGCTACCTTAATCTCCATTTCTGCTTTCGTTTGCCAAGTGTTGACGCTTTTTTTTTTAACTTAGTAGGCCTGTTAAGTTCTACAGAAATGTCCATGACATTTGAAAACTTATCTTTGAATTTAAAACATAGTAGGCCAGTTGACCTTTTCGTCTACCTTAGTTCAATCGCTCAACAAAAATCATCATTATATTTTTATACGTCTAGCAAACAGTTCAACAAATTCAAAAACAAAAAAATTTGTGATTTTGTGAATTCTTGAAAAGTTTATATATTTTTTATAAATCTTTTGTATTATATTTTATAACGGTGAGTAGAACAAATGGAAGTGGGAAAAAGAAGAATGGTTATAAAGATTTATAGATAAAGAGAAAGAGAGAGACAGGGAGATAGATGGTTGTCTGAGGATACGGCTGAATAGATGAATAGATTCACTTGAATCAAGCTCTCCATTTGTAAACCCGATTCCTTCTGATGGCATTTAACCTTCCTTGCTTTGCAGATGAATAAGCCAAAGGAGCAGCGCATGAGTCCCATGGGTTCTTCGGGATCGAGTTCGATGCGTTCGCCGGCAACGCGCGAGCGTCGGGCCGTCGTGGAGGCCTACGAGGGAACCCAGCTGATGCCGGACGAGGCCATGCTGCCGATGCCGCCGCACAATATGGCGCGCAGTCCGAGCCTTCTGCTGCAGGATACGCGGCAATGGCTGAAACGCTGCCAGAGCCTGTTGCGCCTGCTCAAGCGCAGCGGCTAGAGGATATTCGTTTCTAGTTATTTATGATATTTCGCTGTTGTGTGTTTGGTTGGCCGTTGCCAGCAGTTACCGTTACTTAACGTTAATACCGTTGATTCAAGTGCCAGCTACACATTAGAAAGGCTTATAGATCTAGCTATAACTATTTGCATGAACTATCTCTCAGGCTCCCGCGCTGACCTCATTTCGCTATAGTTTACGATAATTAGTGATTAAGTTAGGCATAGGCACCCAAGCCTCAAGTCAAAGCCATCAGGAATCAATCAACTCCATTGATCCAATTGACACTATTCTTTGCCCCCCATAATAGACACGAAAGCCATTCTAAGACTGCTGATGCGATGTTCGAATTGAGTCTAAATTTTATGTAAATTATATGGGAAATTATGTTTGGATTATTAAATTCCAAGTTTATTGTGCAGTCTACAAATCTTGCATTGAATTATTGGGAAATATGTGCTATAACGGTAAATGAATCGATTGATTGATTGATGTACCGAGGTAAGTTGGATAAACGGGTAAACTATGGAAATCTATTTGATCTATACCAGATGCTTGCCATTTCTATGCTCATCTGATCAAGAGTACTCCCAATCTCTATAGAGCCCATTTACAGGATAGCTCATAGTCGTGCAGATACAAAAGCTAGACTTTTGTGTATCCTTGGCCTGCTGCAGCGGCTGCATTTGTCGACCATGGCGTTGCATTAACAAAGGATTGCCACACCACAGACGCCGCGGAGCAATTTAAATGTATTAAGGGTCGCTGTCGAGCTGCACAACATCTGCCCAAATCACAAAAGGCCCCTCGCAGCAGCAACAACAGCAACAACAACAACAACAACAACCACATGGTAATGGCAACATTAAAACAAGTTTTAAAAACTAAGCAGCGCGGCTTATGGCACGTCTCAAAGCAAACGAACGGGCTAAAAAAAAATGCAGCCACAACATTTGGAATATAAATTTCGTAAAACAAATCTCAGGCGCAGCTGCCCCAAGGTACAAGCGGGCCAGGGCTGACGCATGTGCAGGGCTGCCAATCTGCTATGTGCAGGGCTGCCAATCTGCTATGTGCTATCCTATCCTATGTCCTATGTCTTCTATCGACTATCCTTCTATCTTATATACATTTAATCTTGCTTATCGCTTGTCTACAATCACTTATCTTGTGTCTTCTATCCGCTATCCTTTATGTGCTTCTTCTATCTGGTCTTTTCTCGTATCTCTCCGCTTTCTATCTTCTATTTTATCTTTTATTTTCTTTCTTTCTATATCTCTATTCCTCTATATTTGCCTCTCATTCATTATCTCACTCTCGCTCTCTCTCTCTCTCTCTCTCTCTACCTTCTTCCATCTGCAGAAGGAAGTTTCTTGATTGCCTTCTCCATTCTCCATTCTCCATTTTCCATTCTTGCTATTCTGTACTTTCCATTTCACATCCACAATTCTTAACTCTTCCTCTTCTCTTTTCCCTCTTCACCCTCCACTCTTCCCATTGGCCTCTCCCCTATCACCTATCTCCTCTCCTCTCTTCACCACTCCTCTCTCCACCTCTCCTCTATCCACCTCTCCTCTCGTACTCCCCTCACCTCACTCATTTGTCCCCACTCACCCTCTCTCCATCCTTCCTTCTCCCTTATCACTCCTCTCAGCACTCTCCCCTCTCTCGTGTCTCATGTCCAAGCTTTCCTCTCCCTCCACTCTTGCATCTCTCTTCTTGCTCCTCTCTCATCTCACCTCTCTCCCTTCACCTTTCACTATCTCCAATCTCTAGCTTTCTATTTCTCCTCTCCCGCTCGCAGCTCGGTCCCTCTCTCTCTCTCTCTCTCTCTTTCATCTCTCCTCTCCACTCCCACACATACACTTGACCCCCTCCTTGGTCCCCAAAGTGCATTTTGCCACTCTTTTTTTGGGGATGAGGCCTAAACTTTAATCTATTTATTTTTATTTTTTTCGCTTAGGTCACATCTTGTTGCTGCTGCTCCTGCTGCTGCTCCTGCTCCTGCTGGCCCATCCACCTGACCCCAGCCACTGACAAACGTCAAAATATAATTTTTGCGTGGATTTGCTTCTGCAACACAACAGCAACAACTGCAACAGCAACAACTGCAACAGCAACAATAATAAATGTTCAAAAAAAAATAAAAATAAAACCAGAAAATAGAAAATTTTTTACCACTTTTACAACTGCTGCTGCTGCTGCTCCTGCTGCTGCTGCTTATCGCAACGCTGACTGAGTAGCACATTAATGTGGCCTATGTGACTGGGGCTGGCATAGGAGAGTGGCCGTGCGGGGCTCGGGGGGTAACAGTTGCCAGCGCATTGCATGTCCTACAGTGAGACATAATTTTTAATAATCTACAACACGACCGGGTTGAAAAGCGACAGCGCTGCGGCCCTTGGCAGAGCCCCTCTGCCCCCCGAAAATACGCGCATGCAAATGGCTTAATTTAATATATAATTATACCCTGTAAATGTGACTGGATAAGAAATCGGGTGTTTTATTGATCAGCCTGAAATCGCTCAAGCATTTGCCATATGCCAGCGAGCAAAGCCCATCCGAATGGTAGCTTAACATGCAATCAGTCAATAAAGAAGTTTGCATTGTATATATTTAACATGCAGTTAAGGTGCCTGGTAAATGCTTACAAGCCTGTTAAGCATGAGCAACAATTCATTTGAATAAATTCATATTTACAATCAAATTTGTAGTAGAAAAAAGTTTAGCATGAGCATAAGTGCCTGGCAAATGTTCAGCTACAGGATATACTAATTCACTAGGGTATATACTAATCTTATATATACATACATATAACTAATATATGGTATATTTTATTCAATTTTTGATCACGCTGCTGCCCATGTTCATTCGCATTTCATATGCTTACAATGCAGTTTAAGCGCGTGTTAAGCTTTGCCAGGCGAGCTGGGAATAGACAAAATGCTGATCAAATAAAGCTTTTATGCAGACTTTTTAGTAGAGAGATGTTGACATGAGCACAAGTGCCTGGTAAGCACATATATAGCTATTTTTCAAGTTTATAATCAGGATGTATATATTTAACATGCAGTCAAAGTGCCTGACAACGTTGACCAAACACTTGCTTTGGTTGTATTCTCCCATTTCTTCTCATATTCATTTACCATGCAGTCAGAGTGCCTGTTAACTATGGCTTAGGCTTGTCTGCCCTGCAGTTAAGCTGCCTGACAGCCCTACCGTCGCATATACCCGATGCTGGTGATGAGTCGATGCCAACTGGCTTGTATCTGGCTGGCACTTTGGCTCGCTAAGGTGCCTGGGATAATGTGGATATGTATAGGTGTACTATATGGGCAGATTGTCTTGCCTAAGCCAGAGATTGATGCTGACTCGCACAGCCGCCAACCACCGACCACCGACCGCCGACTGCCGACTGCCAACCACCGGACCTCGACCGCCCTCGCAGTCCCGCAGCTGTAATTAAATTATCATGCGAGCTACGTAAAGCTGCCTACTTTTAGGCTGAGACATTGTCGCCTGCATATGTAAAGATGCTGCACGGACGACTATGGGCGCACCGCCCACACACACTCTCTCTCTCTCTCTCTCTCTCTCTCGCTCTCCTTTGGCTGCTGCGGTACTGCTCTACTGAATGTTGTAATTCAAACGACAGCAACGGGTTAACATTAGCGCACTTTTTATGGCCATGCGTTGGATAAGTGCTCCTTGTTGTAGACCAGCTCGTTGTTGTTGTTGTTGTTGTTGTTGTTGCTGCTGCTGCTGCTGCTGCTGTTGTCGCATCTCTATGATTAGCACTGAAATTTATGCCAGCCGCAAAAGGCATTTGCGACAGCAACAACTGCAGCGCACTTTGTTGGCCACGCCCACCCGCTCGCCGACGGCATCTAGAGCCTCACATTCTCTATGTAAGTATCCAAATATTTGAGACTGCATGTAAAGCAAGCTAAAAATCATATCGATAAGCAGAGTCTAGCAACGATCGCTGCTAGCTAGAGTATCGCCTCTCTATGCGAACTTCATGGTGCTTTGCAATAACTCAGCTGACATCTAAACAAAGAGAAAGAGATGGGATGGAAGCATTCGAATTTTCTGATTTAGATTAAAAGTGAGAAATAACTAAAGCTTTCCATATATATGCTTTCTCCCCTTCCCTCTCTCTTTCTCTCTCTCTCTCTCCCTCACCTTCTCTCCCTCCCTTCTCTCAGTCTCAGTCTCAGTCTCAGTCTCAGTCTCAGTCTCAGTCTCAGTCTCA